ATTTTGTGGGATATCTTAGTATTTTTTCCATAAAATTGCGTATTCTCGCACTGAAATTTTCAATTTAAAAAAAAAAGGGGGGGAAACAGTGCGGATCTTAATATTTTTTGCATAAAATTGCGTATTTTTCGCACCTCGATCTTCGATTCTTGACAAATGGCGAAAAATACGATACATATCTGTGAAAATGTATGTAAAATAAGACTGAATAATTCTTTCAAAATCTCAATTTCGTGACAGCCGTTTAGGTCTGCTTCACACACCCGGTGTGCCTTAACATTCTTGAAAGGCAGTGTACCCGCACACGTAGTAATTTCGGGGGCTTTCGCGTCAAGTGTGGAATACTCGAGATGCTTTTCGGTAGATTAGTAGGACGGTGATTTGGTAAAATATCGCGAGTAGAAATTATTGCTTGTCCCTTCAGAAAGAAGGGGGTAATTTACGCAGCTCGGTTTCATACATTTTTTGGCCACGTTCAATCCTGTAATTTGAATACTGGGATAATCACACATGTACGGAGACAGTTTGCAGTTTTTTGGGAAATTAGCAGGATGGTGATTGAGTAAAATATCGCGAGCAGAATTTATCGATCGTACCCTCAAAAAGATGGGCAAATTTATGCACGTCAGTTTCGTACATTTCCTCTTTTTATTTTCCACAAAAAGAACATATTGAACGCGCCAAAAATTCGTCGTAACAATTGTGAAACAGAGAGATAATTCCGTAATTCATTTCTCACACTTTCGAACGTTCATCGATTACGTCGATACGTTGATCGATTAAAATTTCCAATAAATTCGACGAATTCGAAACGTCATTCACACACATAAAATACACTCGGTCGAACCAATGGCGGTGTATACGACAATAATAAGAGAATTACGATTTAATTACCGATTTATATTCACGCGTAATCGATACGTAACACCGAGAGGTTCGTTATTGCCTAACTTCGATACCGATTGGAGCTCGGCATTGCTGTTCGGAGTAAATGAAAAAAATCGAATGTTTTACGTGTTGCAACGCGATATTTCTTGCGATCCAAGGATTTGACGAGTTAATTATCGCATTGGAAGGTAGTCGCTGTCGAAGAAAATGGATCTTTTCGTTAACAGATGCGCAACACGGATACGAGAATTTTTTTTAATTAACCTGCAGCGAAAGCGTTTTCGTGAAAGTCACGAAAAATTGGCTTCTCTCGCGCCAACAGTTGACGTATATCTGCGGTGTCGTCGGCGGTTCATTAAACGCTACCGATGTTTATTAATCATTCCGATGCTACCTGCGATCATCCTCAACCGTTCTCTTTGCTTTTTTCATTTTTTTTTTTTTCGTCTCGCAATAACCAGACGATTGCTCGTTAAAATTGTGGAAAAGTAATGCAAGACACACATCCGCGAATGTGCAGCATCCTGTTTCGTGTGCGTGATTTGCACGAACACACGTGTCACTCCTACACACGGTTTTGCGCGGTATTATCAGATTCAGCAGCCGGAAAAAAGCGTTTCACAAGTTTCTCTCTCTATCTCCGGAGGGATATGAAAGTCAAAATGTTTTATTCATGGGTAACGATCTTAAAAATAACCCGGCTAGTTGACAATTTAAAATGTTGATACGAAGAACACGTTGCACAAACACCTTGATTGCGTTTTGTGGGAAATATGCGGCGGAAATGCACGCGGAACGTGGCGTTTCACGGTGGAATATTTATTTGGGGGAAAGGGAAATCGATTTTTGTTCGATTTTGGGAAACTGTATTATTCGTTCGATATTATGGCTCGCCTGCTTATTTATGTACAACGTCAAGAGATTTTTTCCAAAATTTTCCTTTTTCGATTGGGAAAGATTGGGATCTTTAGGATCGCTTTGGTAGAAACGTTAGGAACTTGTGTGCAATATCTAAAAATAGGAAACTGTTTTGTTAAAATTCGAAGTGGATTTTTTATTGAAATTTCACGGTTGCCTAAGCTGCTTTAAATAGAACCCGTATTTCAACTTTGACATAGGCAGCAGAGGCGTAATGAGATAAATTCACCAGCTCTGCTGCTGCATAATTTTATTGGAATATTTATTAATAAGAGATATTTCCTTGCGTTACGACACTGCGTCGACCAGTTTCTCTGGGAAATCAAAGATACGTGCTCGTATTTGATGCATATTAATTTGCAAATTTTGCTGGAATGGCTGAGATACGAGGTATCGTTAAATTTATGTTTTCACTTTAATTCCTTGTATTTCATATCGTCAGCAATATTTCTGTAACTCAGAAACTTTTTAACAAAAAATTTCACTTCTCGTCATCTCACTTTTTGTTGTTTGATGGAGCCGTAATTAGCTATTTATGCCACAGAATAAATAAAAAAAAAGGTTTAATTGTTGGAACTACTTCAAGTACAATGCTGTCTCGTGTTTGAGACCTGACGACTCTTTGTTCCGTTGTAAAATTAGACTAAAGTTGCCTTTCCTGCAAAACGAAGAATTCTCAAATTTCAAAATCCTCTCTCAAAAAAAAAAACTGGCCACTCGAGACAACTTCCAATTTTATCAATTCCCAAAATTTTCAAAATTTCGTCAAAAAATCGTGTAAAAAGAAAGAGAACCCGCTCTCAATTCTCCCAGCTCACAATCCAAAAATACCACTCATCAACGTCCCCGAGCCGTTTACGAAATGGATTCGTCTGGTGGCTGAAATCTCCACCGACATCTCTCAGCGCTATCCAAAAGAGTGGCCGCGAACAAGGACAGTCGCGCGCGCTGGCTCGCGATAGAATCGCCAACGATATCGTTCTCCCGACGAAGGAGCACAGAGGCTCGAACAAAAGCGACGAACAAGAGGAGCGGGTTGGTGAAGCAAGCAACCAAGACAACAACGAACGAACGAACGAACGACGAAGAAGAAGAAGAAGAAAAGGGTACAAGCGGAAGAGACGAGAAAGAGAAAGAACGATCGCGCGGGTCGCCCTCGTGCTAGTCGCGCGTCATGGCGTGTGCTCGCCGCTTCTTTTTTCCCTTCGGCTTGACTCCCCTTCTCTCCCCCTCCTTTTCACCACGCAGCCACGGTGATGTGGGGTACGCAGGGGTAAGAGTAGTAGGAGAGAAGCAGAAGCAACGACAGAGCGGCAGCAGAACCGAGAGAATCCCCATTCTCTCCTCTCCGCGAAGCGGAGAGCCGTGCAGGTGTGCACGAAAAGGTCCTCTCCCGCGCGCTCTGGCACCAACCGAGGGGCCCCCCTGAGCCACTCGAGCGAGCACGCACGAACGCACACACTCTACCTTCCGCAGACAGAGAGAGCAGCGAAGACAGAGCAACAGAGGGAGACAGGGTGAGACGCGTGGAGGGAACCTGTGCCGGGCCCAACGAGCCCCCGATCTGTGGGAACTGTTCGGCCCGCGAGCTTCCCACGATACGCTCCGGCTGCTGGCTGGCTGGCTATATGCACGGCCTGCGCACGGTTTACTCCTGCGTCTCTCCCCCCTCCGTCCGTTCCCCTCTCTCCCCGCTGCCGACACCCTTCGTCCCCTCGAACGGTCCCCGTAACGCACGGAAGGGGCATCGCGGCGGGACTGTCGGGTGGGGGGGAATCCGTGGAAGGTATAAGTATGCCGGTCGGTCCCCACCAGAGATTCAGAACCGTCGTGAACACGGTAGCGAATAGACACTCTCTCGGCACTCCGAGAAACGCACACGAGTTGTTACACACATACTCTAGACCTTTTGACTGTATATCTTTTTGGACACGCATACTTCGTTATTCTGTCTGTCATATCTCGTTACTTTTCTTCGGGAAGATCTCGAGATTCTTCTCTTACGATAACGTTCGAGGGAACTATTCACAAGTTTGTGACAAGTGGCAAGTGAAGAAGGAGTCTACCTGTCTGTTGGCAATCTGGTAGAGAATAATGGCGCCGCACACGAGCTACGCGCCTGTCGGCGGTATGGAGTACGAGGAGCCAGTGTCGAGGACTTATCAGTACAGAAAGGTGATGAAGCCGATGCTGGAGAGGAAGAGACGGGCAAGGATCAATCGTTGCTTGGACGAGCTGAAGGATCTGATGGTGACGGCGCTTCAAGCCGAAGGAGAGAACGTGGCTAAGTTGGAGAAGGCCGATATCTTGGAGCTGACTGTTCGTCATCTTCACACGCTCAGAGCTGCCAGAAGACTGACTTTGACACCGGAGAACAGCTACGCGGATCGATTCAGAGAAGGATTCACCCAGTGCGCGCAGGAAGTGTCCTCGTTTCTCTCCACTCCTGTCGCCGCTGCTGTTCATCCTGCCGCTGGTGCACAGTTGATGAGACACCTCGGTGGCTGTCTTCGACGACTCGAGGGACCGGCTAACAATTCCGTCGCAAACACGAACACAGCGTCTACCACGGTGAACGCTGTTGGAAAAACGACACCAGCTGTCAGTCCAGCGACAAACGTGATGGTCAACGTGCCGCAGAACGTTTACACACCGCCCCAGAGTCCTGTCAGCGTGGCAAGTTCCTCCGGAGAGTCCAGCGAATCGTCGAACGCTGTCTGGAGACCGTGGTGATTATGGAAAATACCAAGAGTTTTCCCCCGTTGAGATATAATCGAAGAATATCCATGTTCGAGCGCGCTCTCGCGCTGTTCCTTCCTGGCGGAGAAGCTTCCCTGGCTGAAGGGAAATGCGAAAACAGCGAATGGGAGGGAAAACGACGAATCATTGTCTTCCATATGTTGAAAAATTGTCAAGTCTCGTTTCCTCGAGGCGTGTTAATTCATTTAGTAGATCGATAACGTTTGTAAAGTAATTAATTGTATCATCGGCACTTCTTTGTAATTTTTTTTTCTGTAATTTCGAGGAGATCTTCTTTCTTCTTCTTCTTCTCTCATCTCACTGTATGTAAATAGGTGATGAAGCTTTAAGTGACACGTCTGTGATAGGGTTCAATTTTGTACCTGAGATAACTATATTCTCGTAAAGTAGAAGGATTATTATTATTATTATACATATAGATTTTAATTTGTTATGTTTAAGAGGCAGATTTTTTTTTAGACGTAACGAGACACGCGGTGGTTTTGTTAAAACCGCATGTCACACCTCGTGCAGAACACAATAAACAGATTTGTTTTAATCACAGCCACTGAAATGTTACTCGGCCACCCATTCATCCCCTATTCGCCCTTTCAGTCTCTCGTTCCTCCTTTCATTGTCTATCCGTTCAATTACAAATTGACGTTCTTCTATAGAACTGTCCTAATTAGAAGTGCAACAAGAAAGTACGAAATCTTTGAATTAGAATTTGAACGAATATTTTCTAAATAAATCGATATTAATTATTTATCAATTCTCGAATTTTAATCGACTAAAATTTAACGTACAAACGAAAACTTAATAGATTTGATCTACGATTCACAAAAAAAAAAAAAAGAAAGAAAAATCATCGCACGCTGCATGATTTCTCGCCACCTCGTTAAGTTTCGCAATTTATACACCAATTACAAGTGTCCAAAGCTCCGGCAGCGAGGCATAAAAAGAGAATTTTCGAAGGCATAAAAAAAAGGACGGTTCGAAGTGAACAAGAAGAAGGAACTTAATGGAATAATTCATCTTTTAAATCATACCCCTGGCTCGCTGTAAATTTCAACGAAACGCCGGCTGAAAAGTTCATTTTAATTTCCAATCTCGAGGAGGGGGCACGAAAGGTATCGAAGTGCCGTACGCAAGTTGCGATATATTAACAGGGGGGAAAAAAGGGGACAGGACACTTCGATTGTTGAGAACAAACACCTGTCATCGTCGATCTCGATCCGAACGATGGAAAGCAGCCCTCGATCCCAGTTGCATTTACACCGGATACTTTTCTCCTTTTAGTCTTCTCGGCTCGCGTTAAATCAATTCTGCGGGGAAAAAAGCGTGGTTCCTGTGATAACCTAATTTCAACGGATCGTTGATTCGTTGTATTTTCAGCAGCGTCGATCGATCGGATTCACAGACTCGTGTCCGGTGGAGGAACAAAGATTCGTTGATCGAGAGAAGTAGCTGATCCACGAGAGATAAATAAGAGAGTCGGAGTTTTGGGGAAGATCGATGTTGTAAATTGTTACCACTTGACGTTAATCCATGCATGACGAAGATTAAATGCATGAAATTAATTTCCATCCGTCCTCGTGTTATTAATGACCGCAACTTCAGGCATTTTCGTAGTTGCGCTATGTAGCGAGCTTCGACGATGGGTTGAATTGGCGAATGTGGATTATTGTGCTTCGTCGATGGTTTTCTTTAAATTGGCACCGTGGAGATTGTCGTGTGACAGGTTACGGGATTTCTTATTTTAGTACGATACGATATTTCTGACGATTGCTTTCGGAAATGCAAATTTTCAAAGAATTTCGTCTCTTAATTCGAAAGTTTCACTTTGAAAGTACGACGAATTATAGGAGCGATTAAACTTCTTTGAGAAAAATATGCTCCTTTGTAGCAATATTAATTTCATTCAATTATAGGAGCGATTAAACTTCTTTGAGAAAAATATGCTCCTTTGTAGCAATATTAATTTCATTTAGCCAAAAGTTTGGAATCACCTCCCACTTTTCATCAATATTCCAATATTCCAGATTTCAAGTTTATCTCAATTCTAAATTTATCAATTTATCTCATATCAATCGATTCGAACGATAAAAAATTCTCAGGAAATTTTTGTGTAAATTGTAATGCTCGGTGATTCCAAACTTTCGGCCGGTAGTGTAACACCGTGGAAAACAAGAATAAGTGAATTTCACTCTGAAGATATCAGGAATTACAGAAGTAATCGAAGCTCCCTTAGAAAAGTGATCTACTTTGTTACAGTATTAATTTCATTTCATACGATACTGCAATACCGTGGAAAACAAGTACAAGTGAATTTCACTTGGAAAATATCACGAATTACAGAAGTAACCGAAGCTTCCTTAGAAAAGTAAGCTCTTTTGTAACAATATCAATTTAACTACACGTAATAATACAATTAAAATCAATAATAAGTGAATAATAACGTATAATAATCATTACTCCTAAGAGTAATCAAGTAGAAACTGACGAAAAAATCTTTCCCATCTGATCGTCTTCGTTCACCAAATTTTAATCCGTTCGCCGTAATAACAGATCATCGTCGTCCGACAAGTTTCCAATCTCCAACTCCGAAAATCACTGTACGTACCATTTACCTCGTACATCCTCGAAATAAAGTCCTCATCGAGCACGAACAAGCGTCGAATTCGAAGTCGAAACGTGTTTCTCACAGGCGTGCAAGGTATTCCGAATCAATTTTCCCGCGAATTCTTGTCGACGCGCTCGACGTGCGCGCGCATCGAGTTCTGATTTATCCCTATACTTGGTTCCACGGCCGGTGCCATAAATTACAGATTACCAAGTGCATCGAGGATCGGGCTGTTTCATGGCGACCGATTAAAAACTGTAATGACGCGACGCGGAGCGCGCAGATGTTTTTTCATCTCGGAGAACGATGGAAAAAACGATCGCGGCGGATGATTGCGGTCGCGTCGAATTTGCAAGCAATCATCAAAGGTTTGCCTCGTTAATGGCGATCGATCAAGGAACCGTCGATCGTGAGAGATGCTTTCGCACTTTTTTTCCAAGCTTTCCCGCGACAACTCGGCCCTCGCCGACGTTATTTTACGTAATTAGACGGTACCGCAACCGCGTTGCACGTTGTACTACGGAAGTTGCCACGCTTATTTTCGTCCTTATTTTTCCTCCCTTTTTCTCTCTCTCTCTATCTCTGTCTTCGTTTTTTCGTTTCGTCACTTTTATTACAGGTTCGATTTCCGATCGATCGATAAACGGCGAACGGAACGCGAGCGCACCTCGTCTTCGTGAAGAGTTTCTCGATCGTATCGCTCTGGTGTATTAAAGCGAAAGAGTTATTTTAATTAACCGGTTCGCGCGTCGTTTGTCTTCATTGCGGAACTCGAGCGAACCGATACGGTACGCCTCGTTCACGTACGATTTTCATCGGAGATAATTCGATTATATGCCTGATCAAGTTCGCTGATTTTTCTGTAATTTTCGGGAAGATTTGACGGAGCTCTCGGGACACGCGGTGAAAATGTACCGATTGAGTTATTGGGATTTTTAATTGATTGAGATACCCGAGCTGTCAGATCGATTACTGTGAAAATTAGCGAAGCTTGAGAAATTCGCTTGAACTGCAGCAGCTCCTTGTATTTTTTAAAATGGGGGGAAATTTGTACTGATCTTAAGTCGAGAAAATAAATCAATGAAAATTAATTTTCTTCTCTCCTGAAAAATTAAGTTCTCTAAAAACGATGATCTATTGTAAAGTACAGTGTTTTATAAAAGTAGCCCGATAAAAATGAATATTCACACAAAATTGAAATCTTTGAATGTGCAAACTCTCCTCGCATTTTTTTGATTAATCGTTACAATTACTTTGCCATGCATTAAGTGACACTTATCACTAATCACTAAACTGCGCAATTTTCACGCATTCTTGGGAAATTTGCACGTAACGAACAAAAATTCATAAACAAACTCAAAATGTAGTAATAAAACAATTGCCTATCTACCTTCTGTTTTTTATCATATTCACAAAACTCTGAATTTGCTGCCAATCTTCTCCAAGTCACATAAAATATATCCATCTCTAACAACAACCGCCTGAAATTTTCCAAACAGCCCAATCTACGTATCTCTCCATCTCTTTATCACAAGCAAATCAATTCGGCGAATCGAATCGAATCGAACTAACAAAAGAACCTTTTGTTTCTGTTACAGGTAGCCTCGACTCCGTCCGCAGAATGCTGACAGCTGCCGTTTACGTAATTTAAATAGGTACGTGGACATGTTGTGGGAAAATTGGTTAAACGGGCCGATAACGCGTGCATGAAAGCCTTAAAGATATTTAAAAGCTTATAAACGATTACCCCCGCGCGCGATTCAAGCGAAAGATAAACTTTCTCGACCGGAATATTGCTCATTAAGCGGCAGTGTTTAAATGCGGCCGATGCATCGATAAACAGTTTTACGAGCTGCCATCGTTTAAGGGAAATTATAAGGATATCTGGTTCGGCGTGCATGAAAGCCGGGTCGTTTAATATCGAACAGTGCCACGCATGACTTTGTATGTTGTGTCGCGTGAAAATCGAACGCGGATTTCTCGGCTCGATTCGTCCCGGATTGATATTTATTGCACAGCCAGTTTGGTACGGTTTTTTTTTTTTACAGTTGCTCTTCGTCGCGTCTGCCACTTTCAGCCTTTTTTTCCCCCCAGTTCTTAACACGATTATTCACATCGAAGAATTTTTTGGAAATTTTCTTTTCACCAGAATCAATTTCTTCGGTATTTATATAGCCACCCTATTGTTTAGGGAATGTTCGTTTTATCAACAGAGCGAAAACTAGAAATACCGAATTTTAGTAATTTTTTTAACGTGCAAAGAAGAAGAACGAGTTCATTTGTCGCACTTTACTCGCCGAATGAAACACTGTCAGCTGCTGCACGGATTCGTGATCTTATCTTGGTAATATTAACACTTTACCGACCGGTAACGGTTGAACTTTCTACGCACTTTCGACCGGTCACTCGGCCACAGATACATCGGTGACACCGGCTCTGTTTAGACTCTAGGCTATTGCGCGGGAATATACGCGCTTTTTCTTATACCTGTAGAAATGTTAAATCAAACTTTGACCGGTTAATAGGCTATCGGTCGGTAAGCGTCGGCGAAAAAAAAATGGATTAATAGGCTACCGGTCGGTAAGCGTTGGCGGCAAAAAGCCGATTAATAGGCTACCGGTCGGTAAAGTGTTAAAATAAAAAATACAAAAATCTGAAGAAAATAGAAATCTCACTTTCCACGAAATTTGAACGGAAGTTATCGATACTCGTTCGACGTATCGTCGATATATCTCGAGACAGGAGTGTATCGTTTTATAGGTTGGATTAATCTCGTGACACAATGATCACGTCACGGCGAAAGTGAGAAAATGATCGCCGACACGTTGCCGTGTTTCAAATCCTCGCACAATCCCCACCTTCCCCCTCTCGAGCTAAATCTAAACCTGTTCCACGATAGATGTTACAGAGTGTCCACCAGGATGGACTTAATCGCCTACTATCAACACCACGAGATCGCGAGCGTGGAGAACAGCATCGAAGATGGTGACCTGGAGGGCCAGAACGAGGACGAAGAGGAGGAGATTCTCTCGTTCATCGATATCGATCGACGTCTCTTGACCATAGATCAGCTGACGTCGAACGGCGGCAGCGACAAGAGGTGCAAGATGCCGTTCAGGAGAAGCTTGTTCGCGTACGTGGCGCCTTACATCGCGTTCCAGTCGTTCGACAGCAAAGGGCCGATACTCCCTTACGAAGTAACCAAACACCTGAAGTGGCGTTTGAGCACGATCACACCATTAATCGTACGTCGTACATTGGTCAACTCAGGTTTTCGTCTGATGAAGAAGTGTCAGGAGTGGTGCGGCACTTGGGGCAAGCACATGAAGTCGCTGGGCTTCAGATCGTTGAAGGAGTCGCAGAAGATCAATCACTTTCCGGGAACGTTCCAGATCGGTCGGAAGGATTGCCTCTGGTTGAATCTCAGCCGAATGATGATGAAGCACGAGGCGAAAGAGTTCGGTTTCGTTCCGAGGACCTACGTGTTGCCGCGCGATCTCAGCTGTTTCCGTCAAGTGTGGAAGAAGCTGGGCAGCAAGGCGAAGTGGATCGTGAAACCGCCCGCCTCCGCGAGAGGTACCGGGATCAAGGTGGTGCACAGATGGTCGCAGATACCAAAGAAACGCGCGGTTGTCGTGCAACAGTACTTGTCCAGGCCTAAGTTGATACGCGGCGCCAAGTTCGACTTGCGCCTCTACGTTCTCGTCACCAGCTTCAATCCGTTGAAGATCTACATCTATCCGGACGGTCTGGTGCGTTTCGCCTCGGTGAAGTACAACGACGACATAAACTACCTCAGCGATCGATTCATGCATCTGACCAACTACAGCATCAACAAGACCAACTCTACGTACACGAACAACGACTGCGCGGACTCGTGTACGGGGCACAAGTGGGCGCTCAGAACTTTGTGGTCTTACCTGGAGAAGGAGCAGGTGAACGTTTCGAAGCTGTGGACGACTATGAAGGACATCGTGGTGAAAACTATGATAGCCGGTGAATCGTCCATCTCCTCGTTAACGAAGGCTAACACGTCGTCTAGATACTGTTGCTACGAGTTGTTCGGCTTCGATATCCTCTTGGACGAGAATCTGAAACCTTGGCTCTTGGAAGTGAACATCTCGCCTGCGTTGCAGTCTTCCTCGACGCTCGACACCGCTGTCAAGGGACCGCTGATCAAGTCTGTGTTCAACATAGCCGGTTATCAACTGCCGAACACGCTGTCGCCGGAGGAAGCCGAGAAATTAGCACAAAGGTACCAATTGGACGCGGTCTGTCAGGACTACAGGCTGCACAAGACCGCGCTCAGCTGTCAGGAACGGCAGAAACAGTCTATGTACGCGAATCTGAGGAATCGCGAGGACTATCTCGACGATATCATCAAAGATCTAACCCCGGACGATGTTCGACATCTGATCACGTACGAGGACGAGCTCACGCAGTTGGACACGTTCGAGAAGATCTTTCCTACGTCTACTAGCTACGAGTACCTGCAGTACTTCGAGGTTCCTAGGTACTACAACATGCTGCTCGACGCATGGGAGATGAAGTACGCGGAGAATCGTTCCAAGGGGATCATGAGATTACAGAAACTCTGCCAAAAGAAGTACCATTTGGAGCAGCAAATGGTATTTTAGGTGACTGTGTTCGTTTAGGGACCTAAGCCTCTGATTTATCAATGTTGTTCACGTGAAGCTCGTCAAGCGAGGCGGTAATTCTCGCGTGTCGTGAAAAAGGAGAAGAAACATGTGAAGTCTTTTCTTTCTCTCTCTCTCTCTCTCTTTCTCTCTCTCTCTCTCTCTTTCTCTCTCTCTCTCTCTCTTTCTCTCTTTTTCACGTTTTTTTCTTTTGTCACGCACACTGTACCTAAAACACTTTGTCGTATACGGAATCATCGTCGGGAGGAGACTGTTCCGGAAAAATGCTCTCGCGTCATGTGCCTCTTTCACGGTTGTGCAAATTTTACTTTTAAAATGTATCGAATTCTTTTCCTTTGGCTTAATAAAATCATTTTACAACGGAGGAAACGATCCAGCTATGGTTTTTTTTTTGTTTTTTGCTTTCTTTTCGGAGGAAGTTTGGAGGAATGTGGACACACAGCCAGTGGAGACGACAGGTTTGTAGAACTTTTGTATGGTTTTTTTTTTGTAATACTTGTTATTTATGCCAGCCCATGAAGAATGTGTTTATAGAGCGGTCGATTAACACGTTCAGCGTCGAGAGATGTTGTGTTTAACGTGACAGGGGATATTTAATAATAGAGAAATTTAACACTTGCTCATATCGAAGCAAATACCATTTATTTGCAAGTCCAGTTGCGACACGGAACGTGTTAATAATCGCTAGACAGTTGAAAAGACGATGCTTGTTCAAATTTGTTGTACATATTCTATATTTTTGCAAATTATATTAAAGAAAAATAGGACGAAGTAAATCGATCGTTATTCTAGCATAATTGATTCCATTGTTATCAACTACTGTGCCTCGTACGTAAAACAACTTTCAACTAACACCGCAACGAACAGAACACGTTAATCCGATAATTTATTACTTTATTTTCTACAACAAATGGAATTCGTAATACTCGTTTGTCAATTACATCGAACGCTGCACATTGTAAAATCCTCTCTGATTTCTAAGTAGCAAAATAAAGCGAAAAAATAAAAAAGCGACGAACAGTTCGAAAACTACTCATGTGTGTATGTGTTGATTCTCCGAATTACTTCCGTCCGTAAACCAACAAATTACACACCAAAGAAATACGCATTGTCGATATGCGAGAGACAATCGAGAAACTCTTCGAACCCAAAAAAAAAAACAAACATAAAATAAAAAAAATTCCACCGAAACCGACGTATAATTGTGGCGACTTTTTCCCGACATTAAAATACCACTCCTTCAGTCGACCACTTTCCAAATTCACCGGGCGAAGAAAAGCTGTCACGTCTGAAAATGGCCACGGACCATACGATTCCCCCAAAACACGATAATCGAACGGCGAACAATTACACATCTTCAAGCCTGTACCCCGCCGTTCGAAAGTACACACTCGCCGAACTTCGCCACTTTTTCAACCGTCGCGCTAACCTCTACTCCCCATACTTTCGGCCAAATACCACAAATTCCCGGTGTAATTTCACTTCGACACAAAGATCAGGACAATGGCGAACCGTCAGCCGAGACCGAAAAGGCGAAACGACCCGGCAAAAAGTGTCATTCAGTCGTATCGAGACTCGTGCACGAGTACCCGCTACGGCAAATTATCCACGAATTATCGCTACGACGATGACGAAATGTACACGTACATCGAGATCACCGAACGTCTGATAATCACCGGTCACGCGGCAGATCGTTGTACGATCCACGATCCGGTCGGCTCCGGTGACAAAAACTTGACTCTGCCAATGCGCAGGAGCCTGTTCGCACATGTGCCGCCGTTCATCATCTTTCGGGACAACGGAACGTTCGAGCTACCAACGGAGATCACCAAACACCTGCTCTGGTGGCAGGCAAAAACCTCGACGCCGCGAATCGTCACTTCGATGGTTCGAAAGTCGGGATTCAGGACCACCAGCAGGTCGACGGCGAACTGGTGCGGGACTTGGTGCAGCTTCTCCGCGTACACGAAGCTGAGACGCACGAGAAACTTCTCGAAGGTGAACCATTTCCCGAGCAGCGTCGAACTAGGCGACAAGATCTCGCTGTGGAGGAATTTCCGGAGGATGAGAAGGAAATTCGGTAGGAAACACTTTGATTTCATGCCGCTGACGTTCATCCTGCCGGAGGACAGATGCAGTTTGAAGAGGTTCATGCAGAGGAACGGTGGATTTTGGATCGTCAAGCCGCCGAATTCTTGCGCCGGCTCGGGAATTAAGATCGTGTCGCATTTCTACGAGATTCCTCTGCTTCGGTCGCTGGTGGTTCAGCGTTACATCTCTTGGCCTAAGTTGATCAACGGTATCAAGTTTGATATAAGGTTGTACGTATTGTTGACGAGTATAGACCCTTTGAGGATCTACGTGTATAACGAGGGTTTGGTTAGACTGGCTACTATTAGGTACGTCAATCACGTGAGCACACTGTCAGACAGATTTATGCATCTGACTAATACCAGTGTGAACAAAGTTAGCCCAAATTTTCAACCCAATGACGATCCGAATAAGTGTAAAGGTAACATATGGTCGCTGAACTGTTTATGGAAGTATTTAGCTGTGGAAGACGTGGACACTCTAGAAATTTGGACGAAAATTAAGGAAATTGCTGTGAAAACGGTGATCTCAGCTGAGCCATTTTTGCTGAAAGCTTGGAAGAAGACTTCTATGTCGACGTACAATTTCCATCAACTTTTTGGCTTCGACGTTCTATTGGACAGACATTATCGACCCTGGCTGCTAGAAGTGAATCATTTTCCCTCCATGATGCCTGATACGCCGTTGTGCAGGCTGGTTAAACGGCAATTGGCCAAGGATTATCTGAACTTGGTTGGATTTCACGTGCCTGATTTGTTGAGCGGTAAGGAATTGAAGATCCTCAGGTTGATTTACAAGGAGAACGCTGTTTGCTACAATCGACACTTGTACACGAGCGTGTTGACGTGGGAGGACAGTAAGAAGCAGCGCGATCTTCTGAAGAGGAGCAACAGGAAGCATTACTTGAAATCGATCCTGAAGAACCTGACTCCCGACGACGTGAGAGTTTTGATAAGGCACGAGGACGAGATCACGCGGACAGGACGTTTCGAGAAAATCTTCCCGACGTGTAACACGTACAAGTACTTCGATTTGTTCGAGGAAGTCAGGTACTACAATCTGTTGTTGGACGCATGGGAAAACGAGCACGGGTATAATCGATCCCGTGGCATCGAGAGGCTGAGGAAACTTTGCAGGAAGAAGTACCATTTGTCTTGAGAACGATGCAACTGTCTGGTAAGAAGTATCGAGGTAATATCTTTATCGTGGATTCTCCGTATGTGAGAGTACGATAGAAGGAGGATTAGTGGACTTTTTTACAACTCGTGAGTGATATGGCTTTGGTTGAAGATGAAATTAACAAGTTTCCGTGAAAATAGAAGGAAGTATTTTGTTACGAGGGGTGTGTTTGTTAAGGTGAATCTAGATAGGTCGTTTATTATTTCAGTTTACGATTACGATATTGGTTGGAGTGAATATTGTTCATTTTATGTGAAACGTAAAGTGAAGGGTATTATATGAATAAAGTGATTCATAGTGTAAAATATTTTCTATAGATCGTAGAAAATTTACGCATATTTAGAAGGTAATTCGAGGTGTATCAGATGTTAGATATACCAGGAGACTTTTTATTTCTCGGTTTGAGAAAATTATTTGATTAGGTTAGTAATATTTGGATTTTAGGTTAGATTAGAAAAATTTTACTATTTCAAGAGGTACCGATTACGTTTGTTATGACTATGTTTATAATAAAGATACTGTTAGATAAGTGAATGAAGAGACGAACGCTTGGTGTGCTAAGTAAGACAGTATATAAATAAAAATCTGTGCAGTTTCAGCTCTAAGTTTTTATTTCACCGAATTAGAGGAAACTGGAAAGTTTGAAAATTATTAAAAATCTTTAAATTCGGGATCGTTGTCAAAAATTAAAAATCTTCAAATTCAGGATCACTGTCAAAAATTAAAAATCTTACAATTCAGGGTCGTTGTGAAAAGTTAAAAATCTTCAAATTCAGGATCATTGTCAGAAATTGAGAATCTGACAATTCAGGGTCGTTGTGAAAAATTAAAAATCTTCAAATTCAGGATCATTGTCAGAAATTGAGAATCTTACAATTCAGGATCACTGTCAAAAATTAAAAATCTTCAAATTCAGGATCATTGTCAGAAATTGAGAATCTTCAAATTTAGGATCACTGTGAAAAATTAAAAATCTTCAAATTCAGGATCATTGTCAGAAATTGAGAATCTTCAAATTTAGGATCACTGTCAGAAATTGAGAATCTTCAAATTTAGGATCACTGTCAAAAATTGAGAATCTTCAAATTCAGGATCATTGTGAAAAATTTAAAATCTTACAATTCAGGGTCGTTGTGAAAAATTAAAAATCTTACAATTCAGGGTCGTTGTGAAAAATTAAAAATCTTCAAATTCAGGATCATTGTCAGAAATTGAGAATCTTCAAATTCACGATCATTGTCAAAGTGAAAAAAAAAAATAAAGTATCGTCGAGACATTCCGTGGAAACGAATGGGTATTTTCGGAGAAATCCAGGCATCAAAGTCGGTGCAAGATGATCAGAAATGATCGCACGTAGGCGGCTATAGTCGCGCGTAATTGGAACGGAGAGTAGACCTTCGAAGAGTTAAACAGTTTCACGGCTATAACAGCGCCGGGTTTAATAAATCCGTACTAACAATTTAATGTCTCTATTGTGACCGCGACGGCCGACGGTACCGGCAACTGAACTTGATTAGGTTAATACGAAAGGGGACCAGATTTCTTCGCTTCCGCCCTTTAAATTCAATTACCAGCCTGTGCTCCGCCAGTTAAAACATCGTATATCAGTTTTGTCCGGAGGAAGTACGATCCATGATGAGCCGACGAAATCAATTATCCCCAGAAATCATCGTCTCGAGTCAGTCACCCTCTGTGACAAAACTCTCTGTCGCCTCAGAAAATTTTCCCAATTTTTTTTTTTTTTGCACACATTTTACATTCTTCATTTTTTCCCCATAAAATGTATTTCAATCGTTGAAATACATTCTCGAGTGTAACATACATTTTCACCGATTTCTGTGATTGCTATGATACCTTACATTGCATACATCGAAAAATTTGAGAAATTAATCCTCAAGAATTTCACTGATTAGTTTAATAAAAAATCATAGCCGCATAATAACTTTCACAAATTCATCACCATGAATTTTCACGAGATTTAAAGGACCTCGCTACTGATCGCTACGATAATCCCAGCTTAAGGAACGTTTTAAATTAAAAAGAAAATACTCTACGACCAATCAGCGCGCATATTAATTTACCAAATTAATACTTCAGGCCTCTATTGTTCGTAGACCAATTACCTTTAAATTTTTAAGACCTACGAATACCGATCGGTATGAAATACAATCTCGTTGAAACTTGGTGCAACATCGTACAAGAAACAATGTGTAACAGCATTTCGCTATGGGAGAGCGAATTCCTTTTACGAAGGAAAAAAAACGAGCTCAGTGTGGCCTGTCAAATACGGGCAGCAAGCAGTCGTTTGAAGACAATGGGCTCGCACAGTGCCACGGCAGTCAATGAATTGATATCGTTATTGTAACAACATAATAGACATATTTTCTTATTGAGATTGCAGTCCACTGTATGTGTAACGTGCGCGCCGCGTCGGGTCGCCTTTATGAATGCATTCATTCATGCGAGTCGTGCGTATGTGTTACGCAACCACTACAATGCACGCGTGTAAGGCTAAGGACCCCGTCTTCGACTCGGGGATCGCTGAAAATTTCGGCTATCTTGCTAATTACGCGAACGAAAGTAGTGGGAAATCGGAGAAACCAATTTTTCGTCCATCTACAAATTTTTGGTAGTAATTTCATGGTGAACTTAATACTGTTGGACTATCTTGAGAATTACGCGAACGAGAATAATGGGAAACGAGAAAACCAATTATTCATCAATCTACAAATTTTTGGAAAATTCTGTTTAATTTGAAGAATTAATTGTCACGATATTTTTCGTAGTAATTTTCTGACGATTGCAATACTTAATATAGTGATTTCTGTATTTATTTTTCAATCGCTTTTAATCGAAGCTAATTAATTTTCTTCCTTTCATTTCGATTCTTTGCCGAGGAATTCTCATTATTTTGATTAAAATCGAATAGAAAAATCCGTTCGATCATTACTTTTAATTCCCCGAAATCGTGCTATGCGTCGTCCATTAGCAGGGATCTAATGCGTCTACGATCGCGCTTTGTCACTTGCTCAAATTGACTCCCCGAAAAGTCTTTAATGAAAGCTGATTTCGTGGAAGGAACACCGGCCAGTCTAATTCGTGGTCGGAATTACATGTCATTGGGTGATAATAACAGGGCAAAGTGGATACAATTCAGCGGAATCAAAAAGGGAGGCGACTTATTATCCTTGTTCAAGCCCTCGTTCGAATTTTTACCGCTTGTTCATGCTGCTCGAAGTTTAATGATATGTGGAGCATGCGGCATCACGAGGCAGATGAAACAAATATAATTCGTTGCCAGTGAAACATGAAAGCTGAGAAAAAAAAAAAAAGAAAGGAACGAGTGAAAACACAAAAGAAAAAAAATTCGTTTCTTTCGCCTCTTCCGCGATTTGCATATTTATTCAGACGTGTAATTAGGGAGATAATCAGATCGTAGATATGAAACGTAGAAATGCAATTAACAATTGTACAATGATAATGAAAATTAATTTTACGATACAATGATTTATTTTTTCGACAATACTCGCACAAAGTATTATAGATGAATTGACGATAATTTATTCTTACATACGTGTGATTTCCATATCTTTCATCGTTGATAATGTCGGCACATTTTCACGCTCGCGTGGATAATCGGCTTTAACAATGTTTTTTATGTTCTTGTGAAAGTGTCGTAAAAGTTTTCGGACATTCGTACGTCGAGATACGTTTCGAAAATGATAATTTTGAAATATTAACGGTTGAGGCAACCGTGAACATTTACAAGGATTGAAATTGCCTTTACGTGTAGCATTACGTGGAATATTCAAATTAGCTGTCGCGTGTCATTTATCGAAACTATTTAAAATGGCTTTTGGCTATAAGAGGGAGAGCAATGTTGCAATTTACAGACGACACTCCTGTGTAATCGTCGACAACAGATCTTGTCTCTGTTACACGCGTTCGATTGTCACCGGTGGAACTGAAAATTGCGCCGGAGATCAATTACTTTGCTTATCTCATCGAAAACGGTCCGGGGGAAAGTAGAGGTTTTTGCGGCAAACGACACACTTTTAACACAGCCACTCGGAACGATGCAAAATTTATGGTTCACAGAGGCCGGTATACAAGATTAATCTGCTTCCACGATACGTAAAGTAAGTTTAATGAGATGAGATGAAAGGCGGAGATTACGGAACGTTACATTATACAATGATGTATAATTTTATTTAAACTGCGGGTCGGATATCGTGCCAAGTCGCGCGGCAAAAATTGCGGAAAATCGAGTACTCGAAGATTTACTGTGCTTCGAAAAGGAAATTGCGGAAAATCGAGAATTCGGAGATTTACTGTGTTTCGAAGGTAAAGAAAAGAAAAAGAAAATCTTAAAAAATAGAAAATTCGGAGATTTACTGTGCTTCGAAATCAAAGGAAAGAAAAGTAAAATCTGAAAAAATCGAAACTTCGCAGATTTACTGTGCTTCGAAAAGGAAATTTTAGAAAATCGAAAATTCGGAGATTTACTGTGCTTCGAAATCGAAGGAAAGAAAAGTAAAATCTTAGAAAATCGAAAATTCGCAGATTTACTGTGCTTCGAAAAGAAAATTCGAAGATTCACAATACTTCGAAATCAAAGAAGAGCAAAATAAAATTGTAAAAAATGGAAAATTCGAAGATTCACAGTGCCTCGAAAGTAAAGAAAAGCGAAGTAAAATAAAATTCTAGAGAAGCGAAAGATCGAAGGCAAAAAGCGCGCGAAATTTAAAAATTGAAAATTCGCAAGTTTACCGAAACGATATCAGCGAAAAGCGGAGCAAGATAAAATAAGATTAAGCAACGAAATGGAAAATGTTTCAATGGAATGAAAGAAGCTATTAAATTCAACGAAACAGAATTTCTAAGAAAAATCGTCGATCACGTGCAACCTTTTTAAAGCACCGCTATTAGCGAGCATAAGAGATGGAGTGGTCAAAGAGTCGGGAGATAATTCGAACAGC